CGAATTTACAACTGGTTGCGTCTTGTCTTGTTTTGTGTAGCGCTTTGCATTGCCTACTTTAATTTTTGGTAATGTTAAAAAAAAATTATGACAGCGTTGTAAAGGAAAACTTTATGATATGGCAAATTATGAAGAATAGAAAATAGAAAATATTCTTTTAAGAATTTTGTATTTGTATTTTAAATACTTAACATCTCTGCTTATATGTAGGGAAGAAATATTTTAGTCAAACTATAATTGAATTTAAAAAAAAACACAATATTATGTATTCTCCAATGTATATCAACATACATACATACACATATGTATGTACAAAAGTTGAAACTTTTTAATTTCGCTTTAAATAGTTTAACACTCGTGCTTTGTATTATTCGAATAACTTCCGATTTCTATTTTTTTTTTTGTTGTCTTAATTTTATATAAAGTTTCTATCTCCATCCCGTTTCGGTGCAAAAACGGCTGCTAAGGTTATTGACTACCGTCCTATTTGGTATTCAGCAGACAGACCTTCCCTTTCAGCTGTCATCAAGTAGATCTTCATCATCCACAATTCCTTATATGCTAAACGAAATGCTCGTAAGCTATAAAAAACATTGTCAACTAGTATTTTATCAAAATGATTGCTAAAAAAAACAAGATCATAGGTGTGCATAAGTACATTTGCACATAAACAGCCCTGTCGGAAAAGAAATTAATTTAAACTTAGTTAACCAATTACGCTTCTTACAATAACAACTGATATCCATGTCTCGCAACTCCTTTAACATGGCGATGTCATAGGAAGTACTTAGTCAATTGTCCCATATTGCATTTATTTTCTATTCATTTACTTGAAATTTAAATTCAACAACTTAAACGAAACGAAGTTATCGAATAAGGCATGCGATAGGGAATATGGAATCAAAACTGTGCCTTGCTGCATTTGTTTTAAATTAATTTAAAATGAGTTGCTTTTAGAAACTGGCTTATTTTTTCCGCCAGGGAAATTAATTCGCATGCAAATATGTATGTATATGTGTCAATATGCTTTTACACATGCATGTAACTATGAATAATAAATCATTAAATTATCAATCTGCGCTGGCTAGCAAGCAAGGCAGGGAGTGAATACAATTAAAACTCGCCGATATTTTCATTCTGATAAAAATTTAGCATTTCAGCGAGCAGATTTTAGTTTTTGGGAGATGAAGATGAGAAACAATTTCCAGTGTTTGCTGTACAGAGACTAAAATCTGTTTCAAAAAAGTTGAATGTTTTAAAAATTAAAACTGTTTTGAGCGGATTTTCAATAGTTCTAGATTTCCTGAAAAGGAAAAAAGTTTTGCAAAAATACGCCGAAAACGTTTTCTTCAAACAAGTTAAAACTTTGAAAAAACAAAAATTAAAACAGATCTGAGTAGACATTCAATAATTCCAGAGTTCTTGAAAAGGAAAAAAAT